GCCGCCGAGCCCGGGCCGCCGAGGTCGGCGGCCGCTTCCTGCCCGCGTTTCTCGGTTACTCCCTCCTCCTCGGCGCACCTGGGCGGCTGCGATCAGAAGCGAGTCTGGAGCGGAGTCGGCGTCCCTCCTGAGGAACTCGGGCGAGGGCACGGAAAGAGAGTAGGTCTTGGGGAGAGAAAATAGGCTCGTGTTTCCTGCCTCTAACAATTTGGGACTCGTTTGAGCGAAGGGGAGGGTGAGGACTTGTCTCCAGCTCCCTCTCCTCGCTGTTTTCGCGGTTGCGTTATCAAGGAGGAGGGTCACTTACCTAGTCTAACCGCTCTCAACGAAAGAAATTTTACCCAAGGCCTGGGTGAGGGAAAAAAAGAATATTCCAACACCCCGTCTAGTTTCGAAGGTAAGTACGGTAGTTATGGCGGACTTTTCCTTCTTACCTTGTTCTCGCCCTAACCCCAAGTGAAACTTTTCGAACGCGAACCTTTCCTTTTTTTCCGCCCTCCCGAGGCAGTTTGAACGAGACCGGTTTGGAATCAATGGTTAACTTTTCAGTTTTACTGGAACACCCGGAGGAAAAAAAAAAGGATCTTGGAAAAGGGTGATTTAAGGCATATAAAAAGCGCCACCTTTCTCAGAGTTAATTCACAGAGAAAACTTTCTTGCCTGCTGGCAACTGCAGCCCGCAAAATACACCACTAAGGCAACGTGACAGGACTGAAATTGCTCCTGGCTGAAGAAGCCTAACCTTACCTCCATGATGAGGTCTGTTACTGTTTGCGGCTTAATTTCTAAATCGCATTAGTAATTAAATGCTGTTACAACTCGGTGTTTTCACTTACGAATTCAAAAGGCCGTGAAGCAAAAACGGTTTTTGTGGGACTGTAAAGATTTTGTGGGACCAAAACATTGATACCTCTTTTTCCCTGCTCTGGAAGAACATTTTTTTTTGTTATGACTAAGAAGTACGCTGTTTCAGAGCCAGCCTTCTGTTAATTCATTTGGCAGTGGGCATCATTCTCAAAAAAAAAAAAAATCTTATAAATAAAACTAGAACTGCCTGCCACTGCCTCAGACAAATGTTAGCTCTCTATTTTTAGGTAATTGGGCATTCATATATCCCAGATATATGCCTTATTAGGAAACCAAGCTAATGATGTCATTATAATACCAGATTGTTGTAATACTTTGGCTTCGTTGCAGTAAGCGGCAGCTCGGTAACTTTAGAAGTTGATTATTTCAGGTCTGATCTCATGCCTTTGATTTGCCCATCTTCATGTATAGAAGTCTTGTTTACCTGATGGTGTTTTTGTGTGCTAGTGGTTCTCTTAAAGTTTTTTCTAGTAGATTTAAGACACCACTTCGCAGTGTTAGGTATTTTTGTTATAAAATAAAAATCCTGATTGTATAACCATTCTCATGTTCAAGACAGGAAATCTGGTAATTTTTTTTTAAATGGTTTCAGCTGAACACAACTAAAAGGAAGGGCAGGGAGTTGTGTGGTTAATTTACAAGACAACTGCCTTACAGGGTGGTTAACAAGTTGAACAAGTTCGCTGTACACAAAAAATGCTCTCTCTGACATGGTTGCTCACTTCACTGGTTTTACTTTTAAGTTATCAGTATGGAAGTACGGAAGTATGTAATCAGACCTGTGCCCATGTAGGACTTTGTTTCTCTGATTACCTTTGTACAGTCACTTAAGTTATACATTAAGGATAGTGGATTCACAGAGTAATGAAAGTGTATTTTACTATCCCAGTCATAAACAGCCATTCTGGTTACTACACCAGGAATTATTCAATTCAAAGTCTAGTTTAAATTATACTTCCAGTTGCTCAATGAATTGAGTCTTTTAGCAATAGGTTCACTTAAGAAAATTCAGATAACTAGGACAGATTTAGAGAAATTAAGATCACAAAGACAGGTTTTTTTTTGAGTTATAAAAACCCTTTATTCAATATATGCATCCCGATTTTCAACAATTTAAATTGTCTTGCCAAAAAAAAAGTTTATTGTCATTTTGTACTGAAACAATTCATGTTCTATTAATTCTTCTCTAATTAAAAAAAGTTTGACTCCTTATCTCTGCAGACTATTTTCACTTCTTGACACAATGAGAAAAATTAGGAGGTTGTCAGAAAGTTGATGTTTTCCTTTGGGGAAGTAGACTGAAAAGATTGGACTATCCTTTTCTTTTTCTTTCTCTTTTATTCTTTCTTTTTGGGCTCATAATGCTAAAGTTATTTTACACTAAGAAAATTTTCTTATGATGTCTTTCTGGTACAGTTGGTATTATTCTAGCATCACATGTGTGTTAACTCATTAGAGATGACAGCACCATGATTATAATAGTGGAAATGCCATTAGCTACTCACTGTATTCTCATATTTAGATTTTTGTGGTAGCCATTAACTACCTTGGCTATAAAAATTCTAATTAATTAAAAATCCATGTGGCTATTAGCTACTATATTGGACAGTTCAGAGTAGGACATATTCATTAGCACAGAAAATTATTGTACTTTAGACAAATGAAAGTCTTTGTCAGTTCATATTTTAGTTGACATGTAATATTTCTTTACAGGGCAATGTAGTGCTGTGTTTTTAAAGCACTGTGTGCAGACATAATAAGCTAAATACCAGGGACACAAATGTAGGGCACTAAAGGCCTTATTCATCTCTGTATGCTCATTTTCTCACACAGTACCTGACATAAGAGTAGACACTGGGTACATGTTTGCTGAATAAATGAATAGGTGAGAAAATAAAGAATGAATCCATAGTATTGCTTCTTTGTTTAGAGATCAAGTGACAAAATTCAAAGATTGACCAGTCCATAAGAAAGCTAGAAAATTACTATAATTTTTAAAAACACAACTTAATGTTGTCATACTAGGATACAGTTTATTAAATTGTTCCATAAATGTAGTCCCTTCAGATTTGTATCCGCAGTGGTGGAGGGAGGCTAGTTAGATTGTCTTCTGATTCACTGAGAAAAATGGGAAGCTCTTAAACTCTCAAGCCATTCGCATTCACCAAACTTGTTTATATCTTTGTTTTGTTTTGTTTTGTTTGTTTTTTTTGTTTGTTTGTTTTTTGTTTTTGCGGTATGCGGCCTCTCACTGTTGTGGCCTCTCCCGTTGCGGAGCACAGGCTCCGGACGCGCAGGCTCAGCGGCCCTGGCTCATGGGCCCAGCTGCTCCGCGGCATGTGGGATCCTCCTGGACCGGGGCACAAACCCGTGTCCCCTGCATCGGCAGGCGGACTCTCAACTACTGCGCCACCAGGGAAGCCTTGTTTATATCTTAATTCTAACCTTTCCACTTGTCACAGAGGAAGGTGCGACGGTCCTCTTTTCCAAACTAACCAGTCCTCTCGTGCTCTTTCATCCTGCTCTCCGCACTCCATATCAATTATCTATAGTATGTTTACTTTTTTTCTTTAAGCTGTGAACATGTTCAAGCCTCCGTCTACTAATTTACTTTGCCCTGTGCCTGTGTCAAATTCTTTTCAGTTTTCTAAAAAATAGGTTTATTCTGCATAATTATGCTGTTCAAGATGCTTGAAATGTGGCTAGTTCAAGTTGAAATATGCTTAAGTATAAAATACACCTAGGATTTTAAAAATGGTATAGAAAAAGAATGTAAAAATCTCAATTTTTATATTGTTACGTGTTGAAATAATATTCTGGATTTATTCAGTAAAGTCAAATATTGCAATTAATTTTGCTTGTTTCTTTTTACCTTTTTAAAAATGGTTACTAGAAATTTTTAAATTACGTATGTGGCTTGTATTTGTGGCTCATGTTATATTTCTGTTAGTGCTGTTGTATAACATTAAAAGTGAGCTGGTGTTTCTTTATGGCACATTACGTAAGTCTAGGTAGCTCACACACTAGACTGTAACTATCTTAGGATGGGCCATATTTTGTTCATCTTTATAGCCCTTGCACTCAAGACAGCAGCTGGCCCATATTGTAGGTACTCGCCCACCAAATGTTGGTTGACTAAGTGAATGAGTATCAGATTTATTTCAGCATCAATTTGGAAGTACCTGTGTTCTTTGCCTTTCTCTCAAGGAATGAATGAGGAGGAGTAGGTCAGGGAAGCACAGGCCTACGGTGGTATTATTTTGGTGTGACCAAGTAAATTTTAACCTCAAAAATGTTTAAGATCCGAGAGCTTAGAGTATTTGCTTATTTTATCTCTATGTTCAGACTTATATTCTCAGATACCCAATTTTTCATTTGGTTCGAGAGGTCAAGCATTAGTGGAATCCCAATTATCCTAATAGCACTGAAGTAGGGACCTTGTCCAGATACCCCAAAGAACCTTGTGATTGCCACTATCATCATTAAATATCCCTTCTATCCCTGCAGTCTGTTTTCAACATAGCAGCCAGAGTGATCTTATTAAAACACAGGTTAGGTCATGTAATTCCTGTGTTTAAAACCTTCTGAGGACTTGCCTTCTTGCTCAGAGTAAAAGCCAAAGTTTCTTCTAGATCTGTATCCACCCCGCTCCCCAGACCACTTCTCATCTCTCATCATTCTTTTTTTTTTTAATTTTTATATATTTATTTATTTATTTTTGGCTGCGTTGGGTCTTCGTTGCTGCACATGGGTTTCTCATTGCGGCAGCTTCTTGTTACGGAGCACGGGCTCTAGGCGTGATGGCTCAGTAGTTGTGGCTCGCGGGCTCTAGGTGTGATGGCTCAGTAGTTGTGGCTCGCAGGCTCTAGAGCACAGGCTCAGTAGTCGTGGCGCACACAGGCTTAGTTGGCTCCTTGGCATGTGGGATGGATCTCCCCCGGACCAGGGATTGAACTCGTGTTCCCTG